TGTTTACTTATTCACTCGCTTGTTCGTTCATTTTACGTAATTTGATCTTTATTCAATAAGATATGAAATATGTATAATCCAATAATATGAAATGTTATAACAAAAGATCATTATATAATAATATTATTAATAAATCCTGTTATTTGCTTTTTAATTATTTGATAATTTCTTTAATTTTTTTATATTTTCACTTTATTCTTCTATTTATTATTATATAATGAACTTTGATCAAATATTTTACTAAATTAATATTATTGAATTATAAATATCTTATATCTTATTGAAAGAATCTAATCATATAAGATAAGCAAACAAATAAATAAATGAATAAACAAATAAATAAACAAACAAACAAATAAGTAAATGAATAAGTGAATATTGAATCAATAAAATTTGAGTGAACTAGTAAATATAAATTCATATAGCTAATAAAATATAATTTGAATATGTATAAAAGCAACATGTATCATAATTATTAGAATTAAATTAGAAACAAGTTTTTGATAATAATATTTTTAATTATTATCTTATAGCTAGTTATATTATCACGTACTTTTAATCATTCATATGAGCAAAGTTTGCACTTTATATAAAATAGGTAATCAAGTACAAATTTCTCTTTATATCTCTTTAACAAAATATTCTTGTTTTTTGTATAATCACTTCAGCACATTTGTCATAAGTATTATACAATTCTTGAATTAATATTATAGTAGCTTAAGCACATTTGCCAGAAGCACTATAAAAATTATTATCTTAATACTAGATTTTCTAAATATATTTGTAATAAAATCTATTGAACATTATATTAAATAAAAAATTATTATTATAATTTATAAATCTGTCTTTAAGATTATATTATTGATAATATATTACTTATAAATTCACCTTCAATTTTGTATTGCTGATAATATAAATATTATAATTTTTATATCTTTGACTTTGAGATTTTGAGGAAAATTTCTAGCTGTTCAGATTATTTCATTAAAAGAATACAACTGTTATCAATCTTTAAGTAGTTTTGTTACTAGTATATTTAGTACTTATTTATATTTAGTCTAATAGTTATAAAATATTATTAATATTGTTATTAAAATATTAGAAATTTTCTTTGAATATTCCTTTAAATTTATAAATATCTTTGAGTATTTTAAAAGTTAATCAAAATAATAACACTATTTTTATTTTTTATTATTGATAGTTAATTAGTTTGTACACAAACTATTATAGAAGACCTTTAGAATTTTTAATGAATTTTATTAATTATAAATTATTTAATCTTTATTCTTTTACTGTTATATTATTTTATTAATTTATTAATTTTAATAATTTTTGAATTAATGAGAATATTATCCAACTGAATCTTGGATATCTTTATAAAAATCAGCTATTTTTATATATTTGATTTTTTTATTATCTTGACTTATAACATTTATTAAGATATTTAATCTAATAATTAAGTTTTCAAATTGATTAGCAAATTGTTGTTTTATTTCTTGATCTTTTTCTGGTCAATCTTTTTCTTTTTGATCTTTTTCTTCTTGAAATTCTTCTTGTTGAACTTTTTTTATTATATTTCTTAAATTTGAAAAACTAATGATACTTTTTCTTTTTTTAATATTAAAAGATAATATTAGTTGTTATCTAACTGATTTAATTACTTAACCAAAATATTTTGGAATAATATTCACTTTGTTAAATTCTTTTAGATTAAAGTTCTTAATAGTTTTAATAAACTTTCTATATTATTGCAAGAGAAATATTTGTAAATTTAAACAAGAAACTAAATTAATTGAACAAGAAGTTCAAGCTTACATTATCTTCAAAAAGCAATTTATTAATTTTATCAATGAAGAGCAAAATATTTGAGAAAACAAAAAAGAATATAAATAAAAACTTTCAGTTTAAGGGAATCATTTATTAAAAAAGATTTGATATATTTTTGTAAATAGTTTTTTATGGAATACTTAAAGTTATTAAAAATAATTTTGAGTTCTTTGTTAAAATATTATTTTAATATTGATATTCTAGCAATTATTTCTTGAAATAATTTTCTAATTTTAATATTAGTTAATTTTGTAAATTCAAGTTGAAAAAAATTGGTTTATTGCTAAATTATTTGTTCTTTTACAAAGAATTCTTAATGTAATTCTAATTTTATTTGGTATAATACTTTATTTATTCACAAAGAAGTCTTTATTCAAGTTGAATTTTGATAATATAAAGTTATTTTTTTCACAGAGGGAGCACCAAAATCTATTATTATTTTTGTGAAATTTAAGTTATTTATATATTATTTATATATTTCTACTAACTAAAAATGAAAGAGATTAAAAATTATAACTAAGATAGATAATATATATTTTTATTGTAATGAGCTAGAATAATATTTAATAACTTTATTAAACTTTATTAAGTTTATTTATAATTTAAAAAATAATAATTCAAGATAATAAGTCTTTTAAATAATTATTTTTCAAGTCAAATATGACAAATTAATTATTATAAATAATCTATTTTTCAAAATTAAAATCAATATCAAATATAACTTTATTAAATTATTATCAAAGTTTTATCAAACAAGAACTTATTAAACTTATAACAAATTTACTTCAAATTACTAGTTAAGTTATATTACTTTTATAATATTTGATAATTTACAAATACTACTTTTATTATAATACTATTACTACTTTTGTTGAAATCTAATTGCTTATTTATTTAGTATTATTTTGTTGTTTTTATTATAATCAAATTGATAGTTTAGCTATAATTATATTATTAGTTTAACTATAATTCATGTGCTATTTTTACTAAAATTATTTTGCTAACTTTGCTATAATCATATTACTTGTTCTATCATTTAATATTAATGAATAAGATTTCTTCTAGTTAGTATCCAATAATATTATGATATGAATTGTCCAATAAAATATAAGATAATTAATATAGTAAAAGTTCATATTATAGCAATATATAATAGCTTACTAAAGAAATAAAACACAAGAAAATAATGAGATTTAAATATTAATATTAAAGAATTATCAGAGATCAAAGATATATAAATTTTTATTCATCAAAATAATGATCTTTAAATAATTTAAATTTAAAATAACTTTATTTTTTTTTAATATTTTGTTAAATATAACCAAATCAATCAATAAAAAAAAGCTAAGTTCATTATATTATATAAAATATATTCATTTTATTAAATCTGATCAGCTCAATCAACAAAGAAAAATCAATCAACAAAAGAAAGATTAATTAACAAAAGAAAGCTAAGTTTATTATATAAAATATATTCATCTTGTTAAATAAATCCAATCAATCAACAAATAAAAGCTAAGTTTATTATATTATATATAAAATACACAATATTATAAGAAGGGTATTTGATCCAGAAAATCATTACTTCAGAACAAGTGAAAGTTTTGTTATTACTGTATCAAGAATCTCAAAGAACTTCTAATATTTAATTCTTTAGTTCTTTAATCACTATACATTTATGTCTTTTGTAAAAAAAAATAAATATAATTTAATATATTCAAACTAATAGAAACTTATTTTATTAAGGAATATTCAAACTGAAAAATCTTCACCAACACAAAGTATTTGAGGCAGTATAAGCTCTGGCATGATTAATAATTGGTTAAATAAACACAACAAATTTTCAGTTGTATTTTTTCTTTCATCACCTCGCAAACTACTTGATTCTCAGTTATATTCTTTCTTTCATCATCTCGCAAACTGCTCAAGTAAATATAGCAGATTCTTAGTCATATTCTTCCTTTCATCCTCTCACAAATTGCTTGAGTAAATTCAGTATTATATTCTTTCATCATCTTGCAAACTGCTTGAGTAAATACAACAGATTCTTGATTGTATTCTTTCTTTCATCATCTTACGAACTTAATTCAATATTCAAACTGAACAAACCTTCACCAATGCAAAATATTTGAGGCAGTATAAGCTCTGACACAACTGATAATTGGTTGAATAAATCCAGCAGATTCTCGATTGTATTCTTTCTTTTATTATCTCGCAAACTTGGTTCAATACTCAAACTAAATGAACTTCACCAACGCAAAATATTCAGGATAATGTAAGCTCTGAACAAATCCAGCAGATTCTTTCATTGGTAATATGATAATACTTGCATGAATATTTCCGATGAATCAGAATGATCAAAACTGATGATTTATAATATCACGTGGCCCGAACTTTTCAGGGTCATCCTGGTGAAGTCGGGAGAGAGGGTCTCTATAATAAAATGAATATTAGTCACTCCCCTAATAATAAATAGTGAACTCTCAATATAGTGAAGGATTAATTAAACTCTCGATATAGTGAAGAACTAATTAAACTCTCGAATATAGGAGTTGGCTAAAGCCTGGTGAACATGTGACTCAGTTCCTTAAATTTTCCACGTGCAACCGATAAGGTTAGAGTAAGGGTAAGGGTTAGAATTAGAGGACAAGCTTATATATAAAATCGCCTTCCTAACATTTTTAATTAGTATTCCAACTCCTCGATTGATGATATAGTAAAGTTGAGCTCAAAAACAGTATATATTAAATCCTCTTGATATCTCGATATAATGAATTTTGAAATTTTTCACTAATAGCCCGAACACCTTCACTATATCGAGGTTAGCAACAAATTCAAAATATTTTATGCAAAAAGTCTAAAGCCATATAATAATTTGAAGTATAAAGGATTTGCATCTAAATCTTTAATTACAAAAAAAAATACATTCTATAATGTAATATTTTTTTGTATAATAGAAATTTTCAAAGATCACTTTGAATAGAAATGATTGCTTTCATATAAAAAATCACGTAAAACATTATACATGCTGCATTTTTATTGGCTTCATGTACTCATACCTGCAAAAGAGGTCGGATTACTAGGGTTGCCGAATCAGGTCTCACTTTGTTATAAAAATCATCTGATTACGAGAAAGAGCCCTTTATTCTTATCCAAAACAAAGACATATCACTATGCAAGGCTCGACAATTAAAGCTGATATAGAAACAAAAGTCACACAATCTGAAGAACTATTGAAAGTACGGCTGTTTACTGAAACTTTAGAACGACCACACAAACAAGCAATAGAATCTGATCCTTTCTCTTCTGAACGATATCAAGAACAAACACTTTTGCTAAAAGCTGAGAAACGCTTGAATTATCCAGAACAATTGACTCAACGCGTTTCTGGTATGCCTCACTATTTTGACATTTTCTTTCCGTTTCATTTTTTCCACACACCTAATACACATTCTTATATTTAATTAAATCAATAGGAATCTCATATAAATTTGGCGTCTTCCCTTTAATAAACGCCTTTTATTTTTATGCAGATAATCATTTTTACTTTTGGGATTATGAAAAACCGTAAGTTTAGAAGGAATCCTCGCTTATAGTATAATATAGCTTTTTAGTTATGAGATATCTGTCCAAAAGACGCGTATTCTTTTTGAATAAAGCGCGTTTATTTAGACAAATACTGATTTTTCATAATGAAAAATTGGTCAAGTAATATAAATATTCGATTGTGTTCTTTTTAGAATATCCTCTAATAATCCACAATATATTCGCGTCGAAGATAAATTTATACAAAATGTGGGCGTTTTCAATGCTAAATCTGGTATGAAAAATGTGCTCTAGATTTTCGAATATATTTTTACAACTTATCTAAGCTACTATGACTTATTCCTATTTATTCAATTAGATTTTTTTGAGGAGCAAGTGAAACATATTCTTTTGATTATCACCAACGAAAAAGCTATGATTTATGCATTATATCGTGATAATGACACTTGGATGGCATATTATAACCCAAAGGATAGTCTTTGGGCTCCAACAAATGGCTCTTCGTATAGCAACTTAACAGGAACACAAAAAGGACGCGTCTTAATGAGTCATAAAGACAAAGTTTATGAACTAGTTTATCAGGTTAGTGAATTAACTGACTTCAGAAATCAAATTATTATAATAAATGATATGAAATTCATTATATAGGAGGAAGGTTGGTTCCGAGGATCTACAAGCATCATAACTTTAACATCATCCGGCTATTTTGATTTTATTAAATTTTACGGATTTTCCGGTCAATAGATTATCTCAATCATTTTGAATCTTTTCCTTTTTTAATATTATTATCATTAAAGACTCATAATCTTTTTTTATCTATAGCAGGAAAAGGTCCATCAATTTCTTCCATAGTAGTCGATGATACGAGGAATATGACATATATATTGTCCTCAGATAACACTATTAAGGTAATTTTGCTTCTATACAATCAACTCTTTATAATCATGTTTTTTATGATTTTTCATACATAACGTCACGTGTTTCCAGAATTTCTGTATAGTATAACGCAACATTCGCTATGATTAATGCTCCCTATAATAAATTTTTTTGGGCAAAACAAAATTTTTCAACCAAAAAGTAGATTACTAATATTTATCTGATTTATTGAACAGGCATATTACTTGGGAAAGGATGGTCGCGCATTTATTCAAAAAGGGGAATTTCATATTTATAAAAACTTGGAGACAAAAGTTCAACAAGGCCAAAACCCCATTTCTATGGATGCCGGGAATTTCATGTCAATTCACCCAATATTAAAAACAGAGTCCACTTCGACTTGCTTAGTAGCTATATCTCAATTTGGTATGAGTGATAATTATTTATGCATTTATAATATATATATATATATGTATATGATTCCTTTTAATAATGATACTGGGATTTCTCAGGTCATCGCTGGTATTTTACTTGTTATAGTACTTTAGGTTATCATTCGCAATCTGCGTCATATGCGGGTTATCAGACATCGGCGGTTTTTTCTCCATTCATTGACTTTGAAAATAAGGAACCAGAACTCTTTAAATTACTGTTTGTTCTTTATCCACCGCCACATCCAATTTCATCCGCTGGATATTCAAAAATAGAAATGGCTAGATATCACAATGGACTTTTTTTTGCACAACTTACAGATGCAGAAAGGGCAAAGCTTCTCTTAACTTGGCCTAACTTTGGTGCAATATTCTCAGAAATTAGTAAAACTCCAGCCACTACTGCTGGTTATGTATGTGAATTTATTTAAGATTATTGATCGCAAATTTTTAAATTTTCGATTTTTAAATTTTCGTCTAATCTTCTAGAGCAGACAATCCAAATATTTCGAGCATTACAATCAAACTGAAGTCATTTCACGAACATTACTTGATATTGCCGAAATATATAATCCACAGCACGACCCAATAACTCATAACGATTATACAAATGAACTAATTAACCAGTTTTCGGCACCTCATCGAAAGTTTATATTTGTTTCAGATGAAGGTAAGATATGATTTTAAAGAATACTTATTATAGAGCACATAATAATAAGAAAATTAATGAATACACTGACATAAATTAGCGCTGACCATTGTATCAAAGTTACGGCCTGTGGATCATCTAACGGATATATTAGAGAAGTATCGGCCTGAGATGCCAGAGCCCAATAAATTTCTTCAAAAGTCTGCATCAAAAGTCTCGAATTTCATTACCGCTTCCGTTGCTATTAAAACCAACTAATAGATTTATTTTTCGATAGCTATGGCGATGTTGAAACTGCCGCCATGTGTTTTGAAATTGCAACACGCGAAAGCCATGATTTTCTTCTTTATTTCCGTAAGGAGCCCAAAACTACTACAAGTAAATTCAATTATCTCATGAATCTTACTTTTATATATTCCCTTGTAAATTTGCAAAATAATTCGTTAAAATCAAGGTTTTTTAATAATTTTCAAGATACTACTGGTCTTCAAAGTATAAAACGAACCCCTGTATGTGAAGGCTTTGCCATATGTCTAGCCAGGACTCTTAGGCCTATTTGGAAGAAAAACGTTCTAAAGCTTAGGCATGTCTCATTAAACTTTTTTATTTCTTAGTTATAATATGAAGTTAAAATTGATCAATTATGGTTATTAATAGTCCTGATCGTGCAAACCCCAAGCGACGCGATATTAATTTTCCGCCTAACGTACTGAATGACATAGTTCAACGTTTAACTCGATTAAAAAAGTTCTATGAGGAGTATGTCTTTTTATGTGTATTTGCTTCGAAAATATTTTATATGGCTTGGATTGTTCATCAAATTTATATTTAGGTATCCGTCGCTGAATTACTCCCCCGAAAATCCAAACGACGCCTGGAAAGTATGGATGTTACGAAAAGTTATTAATGTATATCCTAAATGCATTCATTATACGCACATCTCTCCACATTTATAGAATGAAACTCAATGGTTAACTGATTTATATGAACTGGCAAGAAATTGTGCCGATGCATTGTCGTTCATATTATTAATGATGGATTATAATCTACCGGACACCATTGCAAGGTATCATATTTTATATGAAAACCTATTCTTTGACCTGGATTTCTCTAATCCTATAAATCAACGTTTTCTGTAAATAGTATCCCCGAACGATCACAGCCAGCGCTATGGAATTCTACTTTTGCGATGCTCATGACCGACGAACAATCTAAAAAAAATTGGAAGGAATTAGTATTGGCTATAATTCGCAGAGAAAATAGACCACAGGTAACTAGTACAATATTTAGTTTTCTGGAGACTTGTTACTTCTTTCTATTATTTAAGTAATTTCTACAAGTCTAATACTCTTATACATTTTATATATATACTTCAATTAATAATAGCTTGATAACCTTAGTTATTCTTTAGAGCAACGTTGCCGTTCTTTTTGTAAGGCGGCGGATGTAAAAATTTACCAGGTACATTATCACATTACCAACAACTTTTCATAATTTATTTATAATTAAAGTATTGTGTATCTCAAAATTATAGGCATATGAAGAGCTTCAGCAAGCCAAAAATTCTCAAGATGAGCATGCAAAATTCGTATTTTTGGAAAGATCATTGAAGCTGTTCCTTGAAAATATTGAAAATATGACTTACGATACCCTCGAAAATATATGTCATGAATATGAGCATCTTCTTTTCCATTATGGTAAATATTTCATTAATAAATATAATTATCTTTGCTTCTCTTATATAATCAATTATTTCTGTATTGAATTTATCATCATATAGGTGCGATAGAACTTGCTTTGAGCGGATCACAGGCCCCTGGGATCACTAATCGTGCTCCCTATCACGATTTAGCTATTGAATGCATGAAATCAGCTGAAGTATTTAGTCTAGGACTCCCTAAAAGTATTGATTCGACAATCTCTTTGTTAAAATTTGATATAAGCGCAATTCTTGATTGTTCATTTGTTTTATTAGAGGTGACTCCGGAATTACGAACCAAAGTTTTGCACAAATCACTCAATATTGGAGCAAAAATAAAAGATAAGGAGTTTTTATTTAAAGTATACGATGAGTTTCACAAAGAAGAGTCGATTCGAGATTTATTTGAAGTAAGTTTTTCCTTCTATGAAATTTTCTGTAATCCACTAGATTATGACTTAATATAATTGAATAGGTTCCTGCTCCATATCTTGAGGAATATTTCAAGGATAGCGATTCAGACTCAAAAATCGGGAAATTAGGAATATATTGCGATTTTCTTATCCGGCATAATCAACATCTCAAAGCTGCCGAGATTCAATACCATCTTGCCAACTCAGAGTAAGTGGAATTCTGTCGCGCTATACTATAATACTATATCTCCTGTTTAAATAAATAGCTAATTTTCCTACGTAGATATAATTTCAACTTGGAGAAACGTCTTGAATATTTATCTCTTGCAATGTCTTATATGAAAGCTGGGATAGGGTATAGTGCTCCCTCCAATGCTATGGAGAAACTCAAAGAATACGAGGATCTTCTTCAGGTTTGGTCATATATGTTAATAATGAATCATAAATGTTATAATAAAATGATCTATAATATAAATAATAGATTGCCCAAGTTCAAAATGAAATATACCAAAGATTAAGCACTCTGCTTCAAGGCCGACCGGAAGCTCAACAAGTGCTAAACGCATTAAATAGCAAGCTCTTAGATAAACAGCAAGTAAGTCTATTTGTTCAGAATTAGCAAGTGTAATTATTTTTTTGGTATTAATTGTTATGGTCTCTTCAGTTATGGGATAACTTCATTGATCCTTACGAATTATATGATTGTACTTTGGATTTGTTGACTGTAAGTGAGCCACCAGATATGGATTTAGTGTCGAGTATCTGGCAGAATATAATACGCAAAGGTATTTATTTAATTAACTAAAATAAACATTTATACTTTTTGTATTTATCTCAAAGTTATTTGACATGATATGTATCTTATTGTTTACGTAATAGCCCGTTCTTATGAAGAATTAAGCGATGAAGTAATTAGGCTCGGAAGAAAATATTATCCCTCGGAACTTTTAGTGTTTCCTCCATGTTTGTTATTTCCTCATTATTTATTACGAATGAAAGAAAAAAAATTGATGCATTCGAATTAATAAGCTTGAATCTCTCGTCAACAGGGCTTATCTGTCGGATTCTAGCAACTTTTTGTGTTAAAAATTCTCACAAGCCAAAACCAGATTGGATTGTCAATATTTTCCTGCAAGTGAGAGTTCCATACAACGAAATATTTCACATTTTAGTAGAATTACACTCGGAAAGGGTAATAAAACTATTATAAGTGACATTGATTCGCTTCATCTAATCAATTATTAATGAATATTGCACGTGTGTATGCTTTTTACAGCCTCCGCCTCTTAATCAAACCGCAGGTCTACGTTTAATTCTTGAAGAGATAGTTCACCTTATCAATCGATGGAAAAAAGATCCAAGGTAGAAAAATTCAGATATTAATACAATAATCCGGTCATAATTAACTCGAAGTTTGTTCAATTTTTAGTGCTACAGATCTTGATCCTCAGCATGTATGTGAAATCATCTCGAATTATACCGAACCGTCGCCGGGAAGTGGAGCAGATCAGGCACTCATGCAACAATTTGTCTTGCTCAAATCTGAATTATAGCTTTGCCACCCAAATTCAAATTTTAATTTTGTACAAATCCCAATATTTTCAATTGTCATGTGTCCAAATCCAAATTAATTTAGAATTTATTTAAACGTTATATTTTAAATTAGAGCTTAGATCTGGTCATCTGTCTATCTGGATAAGACCAGATGGTAATTAAAATATTTAGATAAAATTTTTGTTCATTATTCAGAAAATATAGTAAAAATGAAAATACCACCACTTGTTTTTTGCTTATATCATACTATTCAAAAGGCACATCTTAATGATCTTATTTTCAACTTAATTTAGATTCTTTTAATAAACTAACATTTTTTGTCATTATTTGAAAAAATATATATACATATATAGAAATTTTGAAAGATGCGGTGTGACTTACACGTGGTCTACCATATAAAAATTGTAACTTTTGTAAATCACTATCAAAAATGACCTCAAATATACACATAGATCTAAAAAATCTAACCAAACTAAATGCAATCAAACCAATTCCGAAGCCATTTCGAAAATTAGGTTCCGGTAAATGGTTGGAATTAGAGGAAATCGAATACTCTGATCCTGTTGCCAATGTTGCGCGACGATGGGAAGTTTGTCGAAGGATAAAAGATCAGAATAATAACAAAGAAGCGGCAAAAGAAGAAAAAGAAATAGTTGATGGTTGGATTAGTTTTTTAGAATATGTAGAATACATTTTATTTTGAATTTTTATCGAATTTGCTGTGTTAAAAAAAAAGCAATAGATATACATGCGTTAATAATTCAGCCAACCCAACCTAACGACCCACAAATAATTCTGGTAATTCAGTATCGACCAGCAGTTGGTGATTACTGTGTCGAATTCCCATCAGGTAAGAATAATATGTATAAATAACAAAATTCAAAAGAAAATTTAAATCTTTAAACAAATAATAGGTTTGATTGATCCGCATGAAACACCGGAACAAGCAGCAGCTCGAGAATTAAAGGAAGAAACGGGCTACATCGGAACAGTGAAAAGTGTTTCACCGCCGATTTGTTATGAGCCGGGAATAACCGACTCCAAGTCAAGGATTGTATGCATGGAAGTGAGTATTTACCAATAATTGAATCATTTTTAAAGCTATTTTAATCATAAAATATCTAAAGATTGACGCAAGTCTACCCGAAAACATGACCCCGAAACAACAACTTGAGGAAGACGAATGGAGTGTGACAGTATTAAAAGTGTCTAATAAGAATCTTTATTCAGCATTACAAGGTACTTGGTTATTTAAGTTACCATTAAACGAAATTTCATCATTCTTTAATTCTATATCTAAATTCTCCTAATTAGAACTTGAAAAAACTGTGGCAATCGATAGTAGAATCTATGCGTACGCGTTAGGAATACACATGACCCAAGTGTCATGATTTTTTGTGTAAGTGACAAAAGAAATGAATGCATAGAAAGTAACGCCAGAGTTTCTTATTTCTTTGTATTGCTATTAAGTAATATAAATCGCGTGTGTGCATATCGCTGCACATTTGATCAGAGAAAGCAACATGATGTACTCGCTTCTTTATTCTCTTTATTAATAATGGACAATGAAAAAACATCATCAATATGTTGTGTAAATTAAGACAATTTTATTTTCGTCAATTTCAGTCATTTGTGTGTAGCAGATAAATTAAATGTTTGATACACAACATTAAAATAAACTCGCTAATATGTCCGATTTGTTAATTAACACCGAGAGAAAAATTCCGGAATCAATCACTTTTCCCACGTGTTATTTAAATTCAAACATTTTAGTAAGTAAAGATAGGAAATGAACGTAAACACCGGAAATTCCTCATCACGATACTACCCTCGTATTCAAATTATCTTGCAAATACTAATTTTTCTCTATTAAAATATGTATGTATACATATATATATGTGTGTGTATGAGATATATAATGTCTGTACAAATTAAAGACCGTATGAAAAGAGGGAATATATGAAGATAGGGTGAGCGGGATAGATGCAAACTATATATATATATATAAAGAAAATTTTTGGAATGTATATCCAATCAAAATTGGAAAAAATTCACAATAAAATACATTAAGTACAAATAAACAAAGGTCAAAAATGAGGAAATAAAATGGGAATATGAGAATTCTAAAATAAATCGCCAATTAAAAAATATATTTTAAATAATCACGTTTGGTACCATTCGATTCGATTTTTACCCGCCAAAGTAATAATATCCAATAGAAGATTTTGTTCTTATGTACGTACGTACGCCACTTTCCTGTCTTCTTTTTTACACATCTAGCTTCCAGTTTTATAATAAATACATAAATAAATTAAGGATTCCATTATTACTGGTATAATTTTGAATTCGTAAAAAGAATCAGAGCCTGCTAAACGATAGTTATTATATAAATCCATTTGATCTTGGCTCGATCTCTTTTGAGAACAACTGTTCAGTATTTAAGAGTATATATTCGATAGCCGCATTTTTATAATTCATATCGAGAATTTCGGTGTTGGCATCCGGACCTCGCAATAATGTAGGCCCAAAGACTACAGCGAGATTTTTAGCCGTCATGAGATTTTCGGATGCATTCTCTCTTACCCTGTAATGAAAAAATTGAGGCGCATTGCAAATAAAAAATAATTATTTCATTAACAAGCACATACCTTTGTAAATGATGAATCAAAAACTTTAAAGTAGTATAATTTTCTTTTGGCAACTGTGATAATAGTGTGCGAAACTTTTCGAGTTTTTCCTCTTGATCCTTAATAGCTGTTGATTGTGATAAAATTTGTTATCCGGTGATATATGTTAAACAATTATATTCTACAAAGATTACTATTTCACTTACATAGAGCCTCCAAAAAATTTGGATACAAGTCAAAAGTGAAAAGAGGATTAGGCAGTTGACGGAAATATTGCTTTAATACACTCGTCACTGCACCAATATCATTGAATTCATCAGGGTCATCGAGATTTATCTCATCTTTTTGTTCAAAAGCTGTGACGATAGCACGCATTTGAGAAGCACCACCCGATTTACGGTATATACCCTCAAAATCCATGCCTTTTATTTAATTAGGAAAAGGAATTAATTAAAAATTTTTTTAGATTAATGAATATGAGAATCGTTACCTCTAGCTTCAACTGCCTTTACACATTTTTGAACTACATATGGAATTTCTCCGTTTTCCAATTCCAATTGTTTCGATAAATCATTTCCGAAAATCAAAATTGCATTCGGATTAATAATGCTTTCTGAGTCCATGTCCATGAATGCACCTTGTATTCCGGAGCAACTGCCAAAAATCAGGGCAGAACATTTTGTGTGACTGCTAATTCCGCATGCTAATGAGAAAATGTTAATATTAAAAATAAGATATCAAATTCAATTCATATAAGAAAATCTCTTTACCAGTGCAGCGAGTTTCAGTGAGAGCCCACATTTTTTCTTGACAATGTTCACATTTGACAGGTCGCAAGAAAGAAGTCTGTTGCCAATTATGGGCACGATGACCAGAATGACTAGAAGCATCATTTGAAACTTTTTTTTGTTCTTGATTCAATGCAATCAAATTAGCCATTTTTTCCATTTTTTTGCTTGTAGAAGACTCTAATCGACCTTCTGCTCTGATTTCTGATCGAGTATCGGATTTATTTTCCCATGTATCGGATGAAACAGTTGCACTGCCGGCTGAAAGAAGTTTATTGAAAGGGTTATTCTTCTTCCATTTGAATTTTTTAGGTGTCTCCCCACGACTAATACTATTGCGTTGAACGAGTTTTGTCATTGATACTTGAGGGGTACTATCTAGATTTTCTATGCTATAGATTGAACCCCCAGGAGAATGACCTGGAGTAACCCATGATGATGTTACTGCTTGAGTTTCGCTGGTTCCAGGAGCTCTGTTCCCACGGAAGAAATTGAAATTATGATTCCCCTTGGATTTAGCATGCGTATCAATCTGTTTTGTTAATTCATTGTTTAATTCCGCCAATTCCAAATTCTTTGCATTAAGAATCTGAACATCTTCGACACATTGATCTCGAGTATTTCGAAGCTGCTCTGTTTCTTGTTTTAAGGAATCACGCTCCGATTGTAAGGCAATGATTTCAGAAAGATAATTTTGTTTGACCTGATCAAGATGAGTTGATATATGTCTCGCAAGTGAAACGGGAAGATCTTTGGTAGATTCTGTTGCAAAAGGAAGAGAACTGCAAATAAAATAAAAGTATATTAGAAAATCTGAAAATAAAAAATTATTTTATTTACGTATAAATAAATTTACCTTGCAAGTCCCGCTTGCTTTTCTTTTGCTAAACCTTCGATTTCTTTGATTATTAATTCTTTTTGCACATTTAATCCCTTAAGACTAGTCTTCATTTCATCCACCTCTTTTTTGACAAGCTGTGAATCACGGATCATTTTCTCCATTTCGTCCTTTTCTTTCGTCAGATTTGAAAGTTGTCGGGATTGTAATACGAGTTGAGCACGTAATTTATTAATGCTTTCTTCGGCTTCTTTTCTTAATGCAACTTCCTTACTATACTCTTCATTATACTCGTCAAAAGCAAGTTGACTAGCCCTCTAAAATGGAATTCTTTCTGTTTAAGCGATTGATTGACAATAATTGAAAATAATATTTTCTTCTTTTTAGTTACCTTTATTTTTCGAAATTTGCTCTCTACGCTTGCAAGATTCTTTTGTGTATCTAATAATTCCTGTTTCAATTCTTCTACATCAAAGTTGTCCGATTCTACTACCTTGACAGTTGGTATGTCTCTACCCGAGGAGCTCATTGAAGAATCACTGTTCTTTCTTTCATACGGTGATATAGAAATGAGACTCGATGTTTCATCCCCACCGAAATCCTTGCTCTCCTTCCTTCCTTCAAGTTCATCTGATATTTTTTTCGATTCATCAAAATTAATCAATTTTGATCGACGATTTTTATTTCGAAGGGAGGCACCCCTGTCAAGTTTTACATTTGCTAATAATTCTGATAATTCATCACTACCATCAAAAGATAGCGGTGGGAGCAGAGGTGGACCAGTAGGTGACGTTGAAGGCGGTGTATTAGGAGAAGCGGAACGTGGTGAGGAGGGAGAGGGAGAACGTGATCGAGGACTAGATTCTGTAGGACTTGTTTGATTCGGAGTTGTTTCATTTGAATGAGCCCCAAGATTTTCGGAAATATTAGGTAAACTATGTTGAGGAGTATGATTTATGAAATTGGGAGGATTGTATTTTTTTTGTGAAAATTTTCCATTTTTTCTATTTTCACTTTCAGAACTGGATGATGATGATGAAGGTTTTGTTGAGTTTTTCGAAAGAATATCTGAAAAGTCATTTGATTGACTAGAAATTGAATAAGATCGATCGGAAACGTCAAAAGAAGGATCACTACGAGAACTTGTAATTGATAAATTTCTCGAATGAGTATCGGTCAATTCATCACGATACCGAGAAGGCATCATTATTCTCGAAAAATTGTCCAATGATTCGTTTCTTTTAGAGAAAAGTCCAGCTTTATTTGATGATTCAAGTGAATCGCTACGAGATTTGATATTGCTACTTTTATCGGATATTGGTTTTGAGGTAAATTGTTCAAATGCTTTAGTAGCTGGTGCGGATACTTTATTTTTAAATACGTCGCCTATCGAATTCCCGTCGAATATACGTGATTGACGACGACCTTTTCCAGTATTAGGAAGTGTATGTGCTTTTGGAATATTCTCGGCAGAAATCCTTGGGGTGATTTTTGATGGATTGGTAGGTTTCTCAAAAGATCTTTTCGCATTTATGCTACGATTTGGTAATTGAAGATTATTACGCTATAAAATATTATTTGAAAAATATATTAGAAAATATATTCCCTCGATTATATCTAAATATCTATCTCTATATCCTTTCTTACCTTTTGTTGTTCTTTGGGTAATGATGGAAGTGATTTTTCCAATGAAGTTTGCGGTATAAGTAAATTATTTTCTTTTTCCTTCTCCTTTGCTCGTTTAGCTTTAGCCACTCTATCGTTATGACATGTCATACAATATATTCCCTATATATTATCAAAAATTATTTAATTTAATTTAATTTAATTCAATTCAATACAATAAAATAAAATTCAGATTGACAATTTAATTTAATTCAATTCAATACAATAAAATAAAATTCAGATTGACAATTTCTTTCCATGTAAAAAATGTATACCTGACTTGTTTTAGCAAAAACGAGATCATCGATTTTTTTTCTACATTGTCGACAACGAAAACAATCAATGTGAAATGATTCGCCCTCTTAATTTATAAATTAGATTGTGATTAATATATTTTTAGTTAACTTTCCAAAATAATTTTTCATAGGAAATAATTCATAACTCCTCCCTCGATAAAATTAACACTTACCAGTCATTATTGCCTCATCCAAAATAGGCTTTTTACACACATGACAATCATACGAACAATTTTCGCATATGGGCTTTCCATCCGATAATAATAATAAGTTGGAATCATGTTCAACTAAGTTATGACACTTGGCACAACAAAAACTGATCAGAGTTAAATTCAACGAAACGATAAAATCATGAAGCAAAAAGATTGGAATAAAAAAATTGTTAGTTTATTTATTAAATAATTAAAAAAAAATTGGATAAAGATACACGCAAATCAGCTTGTTGACGATATACTCGAAAAAAAAGAGTTCAAGAACAAAATAGATAAATAAATCAAGAACAATGATTCGTAATTACCATTGAACGTGCCATATGCCTTCACCGAAGGCTACCACATTTCCCTCTTCAATGATTAAGCCACAACCCGTACAACAAGGGTCAACTGTCTCCTCATCTTCGAAACTCATACTACTCTCGGCCATTATGCGTTATTCTATAGATTGAGTAGAGAGGAGACTGAGAGGGTAGTGGAACCAACGTGAGAATTAATAGAGATGGAAATATTTTTTTGACGAAATTATGTAAAGTGGAGAAAGTGAGGAGAATTAATGTTCCAGGTAAAAGAAAATGGAATTTTTACGATGTAAAATGTAAGGTGTAGAATGTATTTTTACGACGTTAAAGGTAATGCGTAGTTTAGTTTAAATGCGTTGTTGTTATTAGTGAAAAGATCCTCTATTTTTACTAGTACAACTAGTGGTAGTGATAACGGTTGTATAAAAAATAAAAAAGCGTGGATTTTCAAACACACACACTTTAGACTGGATGCGCGCGTGAAAACGTTAATGAAACAATCACACAAAAATTTCAAAGTGAATTGTTTCCATTAATAGCCGGCGACATGTAATATAAAATGTGGAGTCCCTCTACCCTCGTAGTGTATTACCCATTCATTTACTGGTTGATCACATGCAGAGAACATGTGGCGAAAATCTGATCTGCTGTTGAAATTATCGTTCTTTTAACTAATTCTACAATGAAAAATACGAAAAATGAAAAAGTAAAATCATTCAGATAAGAAAGAATATTTGTAATTTGTACACCATAACGATAACGATAATAATTGCTTTGTTTTTTTTTGTTTTTGTATTATCATATGTTGCACAACATTTAACTATAATGTCGATCATTCCGAATTTTCGAAGCGTATTATTACATCATTATAAATCTTGGCAAAGATTAAAATGAAATCTGGTAAGGCTGTGACAGGTTTTACGTAATATCCTAGGGCACATGCTTCAAATATCTTATCTTGGAAGAGGATGGGCTCTATAGTAAATTTATACGTGATATATGTCACGGTTTTAATCTTTTTTGAATCATAATTATAGAATTTTGTAATTTATCGCCATGCCAGGATCCCAAAATTAATAATAACGGGAACCAAAAATATAATCTTAAACTTTTTTGTGCCCATAACCCTAACCCTACCCTCTTGTTAAATATGTGATAAATTATAAAAAAGAGTAGAATTGTTAACCAGTTCCAAATAATCCATGAAAATTATTAGTTTTAGAGATATTTTTTTCTTACAAATTACTAATTAAACTTGCTTATGATAATAATTAATCTAAATTATTTATTTTCAATAAATAATAAATTTCTTGAAAAATCATAACCTTTTAAATATAAAATTTGAGATAAGTTTTTGATCAACTTGGAATCATTCTGAAACTGAAACAGTTTCAGAAAGATTGCTAATTTTAGAGATAATTTTTATTTTACAAATTATTAATAAAACTTATTTATAATAATATATAATATAGTTAAATAATTTGACTTTTTTAGAATTAGTAATTTTTAAAATTGTTGAAATTAATTTAATAATTCTAGAATTCAAAGTATAAAGTATAATATTAAATTTTGTTATTGATTATTTATAGATATCATTTTATTTTAATTTATTATAATAATTAATTAAAATATATAATTAATTTAAAAAACTAAAATTAAAAATATTTTAATTTAAGATATAATAACTAACAAAATTATAGAATCATATAGTAACTAACAAAATTATAAAATCACACATGCAATTTTATTATAAATAATTTTTATTTTTATATTATAAATTATATTTTAATATGTATTTTTTCTGGATTTTTTTTGGCAAAGTTATTCTAATTGCAAGTTATTGCAAAAATTTTTATAATTAAAATATAAAATTAATTATAAAAAATTTTTGCAATAATTTTGTAATTAGAACAACTTTGTTAAAAAAAAATCTAAAAAATACAAAAAAAATATATATTAAAATATAATTTATAATCTTTGTTTTGATATAAAATTAAAAAATATTTATAATTTTAATTAGAATTATTATAATTTTGATCAGAATTATTATAATTTTGATTAAAATTATTATAATTTTGATTAAAATTATTATAATTTCAATTTTAATATTAATTAGTATAAAATCTCTTTATAATTATATATTTCTATAGTTATCCAATTTGACTTTTTCAATAGTAATGACTATAAAGAAGTTTGACTGTATATGATAATATTTAGTAATATATTATAATATTTAGTAACATATTATAATATTTAATAACATATTATAATATTTAGTAACATATTATAATATTTAGTAATTTATTATAATATATTATAATATGTAGACTAAAATTATTATGTATATAAAAGATATTTTTTATATTATAAAAAACAAGTTGTTATAATTAGTTCAACTAATAACTTAAATAAAAGATCTTTAATAAAATATTTATTACTTATTATAAATATATAAATTAATTAATTAATTATATTAGGAAAATAATATATATTATATAATATCAAGTTGTTATTTCTCTTTTTTTTCAAGTAAGATTTTTATTATATTTTAATTGGTTAATTATTTTTGATTACGTGAAAAATAAGATTTTTAAAACTTTTTCTTCTCTCTTTGATAATTATATAATATATATATCACTTCCTTTTAGTAATAGAATTCACAACTAGCTATAACTATATTACAATTTTTTGATTGATTACTATAACTTTATCGCAATTCTCTGATTGATTACTACAAGCTGCAGGTAAGATTTTCTTTCAAATCTACTTTTAAAGCTTCAAATTGTCTATTGATTTTAATGGAAGTGAATTTTGTTGGATCCAGTTTGAGTTAATAGTTGTTCATTCACAAAGAATTCATTTAGTAAATATTTGATCAAAAATTCTTTTATGCCACTTAAATATTTTACTCAATATCCTTTAATCTTACAAATTTAATATTCTTTCGCTCAGTGTGTTTTTATAATGGTATTTTATAACACTTTTGAGATTTCAATTCATAGAGAATTCTTTTACTAATAATTGTTCTTTTGTAATAGAACTTTATAATGTTTCAAAATTTTAATTCTCACAAGAGATTTAATAATTATTCTAATAGTATTTTCAAAATAACATTTTTGAGATTTTGATCCACAGAGAGAGCACCAAAATTTTGTTACTGTTTTGATGGAACTTTTGAAATATTCAAAGATATTTATAAAATTTAAGAAATATTCAAAGGGAAACTTCTGATATCTTAATGACAATTCAAAGTATCAATAATATTTTATGACTTTAGACTGAATATAAATTAAAGTATGACAAGTACTTATAGAATCACTTAAAGGTTGGTAACAGTTATGTTCTTTAACGCAATAACTAGATTGCTAAAAAGAGTTTCCAAAATCTCAATATCAAATATAATATACGTATTAAAACATCTTTAAATATTTGAAGTCAAATATAAGATATAATATTCGTATTATCAACAATATGAATCGAAGATAAATATATTAAACAATATATTATTAGCAATACAAAGTCAAAGGTAAGTTTATGAGTAATATATTATTAGCAATATAATCTCAAAGACAAATTTATGAATTATAATAATAATTCCTTTATTTAATATAATATT